GTGACAAATCTGAGGAACTGTCCCAGACTGAGGTGTCAGTAGAGGAGATTCCGGAACAAAATGATCAATTAAAACAGTAGTTAGTCACCAGAACCAGATTGTATTCACCCAAGAGTTCTGAAGGAACTTAAATATGAAATTGCAGAACTACAAATGTGGTAGGTGACCTGTCACTTAAATCAGCCTCTGTACCAGATGACTGAGGATAGCTAAAGTAATGACATTTTAAAAAAAAAAGGCTCCAGGGGCAGTCCTGGCAATTACAGGCCAGTAAGCTTAACTTCAGTACCAGGCAAATTGGTTGAAATAGAATTATTGGACGCATAGATGAATACAACATGTTGGGGAAGAGTCAACATGGGTTTTGTAAAGGGAAATCATGCCTCACCAACCTGTTAGAATTCTCTGAGGGTGTCAGCAAGCACGTGAACAAGGGTGATCCAGTGGCTATAGTGTACAGTACTTAGATTTTCAGAAAGCCTTTGACAAGGTCCCTCTCCAAAGGCTCTTTAGCAAACAAAGCAGTCCTGAGATAAGAGGGAAGGTCCTCTCATGGATCAGTAACTAGTTAAAAGATAGGAAACAGAAAGGTAGGAATAAATGGTCAGTTCTCACAGCAGAGAGAAGTATATAGCAGGATCCCCAAGGATCTATATTGTGACCAGTGCTGTTCACTGTATTCATGATCTGGGGAAAAGGGTAAACAGTGAGATGGCAAAGTTTGTAGACAATACAAAATTACTCAAGAGTTAAGTCCAAAGCTAACTACAATAAGAGTTACAAGGGGATCTAACTAAACTGGGTGACTGGGCAACAAAATAGCAGATGAAATTCAAAGTAATACACTCTGGAAAACAACCCCAACTATACATACAGTATGATGAGGTCAAAATTATCTGTTACCACTCAAGAAAGATCTTGAGGTTATCATGGATAGTTCCCTGAAAGCATCTGTTCAATGTGCAGTGGCAGTCAAAAAAAGCTAACAATGTTAGCCACCATTAGGAAAGGGATGGACAGACAGACAATATCATAATGCCACTATATAAATCCACCTTGAATATTGTGTGCAATTCTGGTCACCACATCTCTAAAAAAGATACATTAGAATTGGAAAAAGTACAGAGAAGGGCAACAAAAAACTATTGGGGTATGGAACAGCTTCCATATGAAGAGACTGGGATTGTTCAGCTTTTCTGAGCCACCCCATGTGTATGCCCAGCTTGGCAGGTGAAGCCCAGTGTCTGGGGGCACCAAGGCTAGAAAGAGGGCATGGCATCAGGGGAGAAGCTGAGCGAGCACAGCCTGTCATTGCTCATCCACCCAAAAGTTGGGCCCACCCAAATTTTCACTCCTAGCTACGCCACTGATGGACAATCAGCCTGTGGAACTCGTTACCAGGGGATGTTGTGAAGGCCAAAACTATAACTTGATTCCAAAAAGATTAGATAAGTTCATGGAGAATAGGTCCATCAGTGGCTAATAGCCAAGATAGTCAGGGACAGAACCCCATGCTCTGGGTATTCCTAAACCTCTGACTGCTAGAAGCTGGGACTGGACGATAGGAAATGGATCACTAGATAAATTGCCCTGTTCTGTTCATTTCCTCTGAAGCATGTGGCACTGACCACTGTTGGAAGACAGGATACTGGGCTAGATGGACCATTGGTCTGACCCAGTATGGCCATTCTTATGTTTTTATTTATAAATTCACTATTTTCTCAACCTACATCAGCTTTTTAGACTAAAAGCAAGAGCAAATCTCAAATCAACTGTGGAAACAGGTGGATGTTAATTAGAAGAATCTTTTAGATTGAGAAAACAGGCTGACATATCAAAAGGATCAATATTTGAAGCCTGCAGCGTGTTTGCAGAAATATTGTAATATGGGCATTGACAAAATCATGCCAAGTTGTCATGACCCAGACTGGTTTTTAGCATAAGACAAACTTTTAAAATAAACACCACAGTAACTGAATATGTATTTTAAAAAAAAAAAAATACAAAGAGGGACCTGAAATGCAAAGGTCAGATCCAGACTTTCCAAAGGTATTTGGATCCAATTTTTTGATGCATGTTCACATCTATTTTTAAACCCAAATAAATTCAATGGAATCTGGCTCAAAATAGCACCTATCATACCCAAAAGTATTAAAAAATGCTTTACAAACTAATACTGCTGGGCAATAACTTGCCCACAGTTTTCCCTGAATTGCTACCATATGTATCAAGTTCCAGGCTGGGGATAGTGTGTGTGAAGGAGTTCAACAAACAAAACTGTAGAGTTGCAGAAGAAACTCTAAAAGATCATCTATAGTGGCGCAGCTATAAAAAAATTCCAGTCTTTTTATGATGGAAAGATATTAAAATAGAAACACTAAATATAAAAACAGCTTTAAAAAAAGATTAAAAACTCAATAGAAACTACAGTCCATACCCTGCCTCCCTCTCACATGCAGATCAAAGCAAGTTATGAGCTGTTAGAAAACTAATTAAAAACCTCTGCTGAGCTAAATACAGAAGTTGAAATGCTGTATTTGAAAGTTACCTCCACTTCACAAGCGCTCCATGACAAACAAAAGGTAAAGATATGCAAATATGACTGAATTTAAAATCAGTTTTCAACTTGTATATGGGTATGGAATTGATTTAAAGACACTGGAGTAGAATAGGAGGCAGGAAGGAATTCTGCTAGTGTGACTTCCCATGCTAGTATGGCTTCCCACTTTATTAATCATAGAATATCAGGGTTGGAAAGGACCTCAGGAGATCATCTAGTCCAACCCCCTGCTCAAAGCAGGACCAATCCCCAACTTTTTTTTTTTTGCGCTCCAGATCCCTAAATGGCCCCCACAAGGATTGAGCTCACAACTCTGGGTTTAGCAGGCCAATGCTCAAACCACTGAGCTATCCCTCCTCCCGTATGTTTTGTTCAGAATGAATACTTGTAACTTTCTCCATTGAATATATATTACATTACAAAAACTCACTGCTTGTGGAAATGCAGGGAATTTGTATAATTTCTAGCACCAAGTCTCAATAGGTTCACATGTACATGTGTCTTGGGAATGCCCAATAATATGAGAATTTTGGTAACATTATGACAGACTGACAGTCTAATATACTGAACAAACTTTATGGAATTCAGAAACTTAAAATCAATAAAGTTAAACTTTATTGAATTAGGGTTAACACCTTTGGAGTACATTGTATAAATATATGCCATTGCGTACGTGTTATCGTGGCATTGTATATACTTTCTCTAGCAGGGTAGGGGATGCTAATGTACTTCCTCTGTTATCAAGGTTCTGAAGCCACTCTCCTGGGTTTTTTGGATAAATAGCCTGGGTTTTAAACAGACTCAGTACCTTTTTCCTGACCAAAAACCAGACAGGACCCCGGTGCATATGTAACGCCAAGAGACCCCAGTTGTCGGCGGGTGGGATTGAACCAGGGACCTCTGGAGCTTAGTGCATGAGCCTCTACCGCAGGGGTAGGCAACCTGTGGCACACAAGTTGATTTTCAGTGACACTCACACTGCCCGGGTCCTGGCCACTGGTCCAGGGGGCTCTGCATTTTAAATGAAGCTTCTTAAACATTTTTAAAACCTTATTTACTTTACATACAACAATAGTTTAGTTATATATTATAGACATAGAAAGATACCTTCTAAAAACGTTAAAATGTATTACTGGCACGCGAAACCTTAAATTAGAGTGAATAAATGAAGACTCAGCACACCACTTCTGAAAGGTTGCTGACCCCTGCTCTACTGCATGAGCTAAAAGCCAACTGGCTGTTAGCTAAGGCTATAGAGCAGACTCATTTTATCTCTCTAAGTGGTCTCGGTGCGACTAGATGGGACAGAACACCACACCCGGGAGATGTGTGGGTTACAGATGGAAGGCCCTAATTCTTAAAGAAGGGGTGGAAGGATGGGGCCTACTGAGGCCCCATAAGGCTGTGCTTGTTCTGAGCTGAAGCTGTGATGAATTTGTCATGACAAGAAAATCCATAGGGTGAGATAGGACTGCTCCTGACAGAGCCCATATCAGAATTGGGTTGATGTCTGGGAAGCTTATTAGCATGCATGTAGGTTATTTTACTGTTTAATAAGTTTTCTTTGTAGTGTTTTTACCTTAAAAATAAAATAGATTTGCATAAAAGGAATGGTGTGGTCACTTATCCCTGTTGACAAACTTTCTGTTATCAGTCTCTGAAGTGAAAGCAAGCAGGTGTGCTTGGCAGCCTGTCTCAGTAGAGTCAGGGAACTGTGCAGCCTGGAAATACCCTGGTCAGAAGGGAGTGAGAGACAGGTATCAGCACAAGTAAAGCAATGGCTAGGGCTCTGGATGCTTGAGAGTGGGTGCCCTTGCCAGACCACTGTGGGGAAATACAGATGCAGTTGCCCTGACCTGTGACACAAGGTTGTGAATCACATAAAGACTAGTGCAAGTGAACTTCCTTATTAATCATACTTGCCTTCTCTATATCTTCACATAGAAGATGACAAATACAAGAGTATCCTTCAGCCCAAGCAGCATTACTCAGCAATGGAAATCTCATCTTACCCTATACCATATGATTATCTGGCACAGAGAATGGCCTTTCATTCAGTCTCATTTCTCTTTAATCAGCCTTAAGGCAGTGGCATTTTTGTGCCTAAATCAGTTTGTACCTTAGAAGTGTTACTTTGATGGAAGTAACAAAATTTATCCTCTGAGTTTAAAAAAAAGTCCTAATTCACAAATTAAACTGAACTCCACAACAAACATACTCAAAGGATTCCCTTGATTCTTATGACAGATTGGTTGTTGCCTTATGTACTATTGACTACTGTTAAGCTAATGTCCTGTAGTGTGCTGTAAATTGTATGCATGCACACTTTTTCTCTCATTCTAAACTCTTATTTTAGTTTCAGTAGAAATGCCATGAAATATAATTGTTTTATTCAACTTTTAGTTACAATTCTGTGAACTGGCTTGTTTTTTCTTATTAGCAGAGATGCCTAGGCAATTTCCAAAGCTGAACATTTCTGAGGTTGATGAGCAGGTACGGCTTTTAGCAGAGAAGGTATTTGCTAAAGTTCTCCGAGAAGAAGACAGCAAAGATGCCTTGTCACTATTCACTGTGCCTGAAGACTGTCCTATTGGGCAGAAAGAGGCTAAAGAGAGGGAACTGGAGAAGGAGTTGGCAGAACAGCATTCTGTGGAGACAGCTAAGAGGTTTGTTAAGTAGCCATTGTTTTCCTGGAAAAAAAATGTTTAAAGTGGGTTTTAGAATTACATACAGGAATACATCACAAATGGCATGATACTCATCCATAATACTTGAGCACAGAAGCCAGCACAACCTGTGCTGTATGATTTAGAATGTGTTGCTTTATTGCACATGTTCCTGGAAGTTGTAATACTGAATGTTTTGATATATACAAAGGGTCAAACTCTGGCAGCTGCTTTGCAACAAACAGTGTCTTGAAAAGGTAAACGTATGTTGCAAGTTGTAGAGTTTACTTGCATTCAGAATGCGACGAACACAACGCACATCACCACCTCACAAACATATTGCTATTGGACCAGATCCTGAGAGGTGCTCTTCACCTGCAGTACTCTTTAAAATAAATTAGTGGGAAATTACAGGTTCTTAGCACTTGCTTGTTCTGATCCATTAAGGATGGGAATAATCTGCCCCAGGATTGTTCAGAGAGACCATTTCAAGGTCAGGGAACATACACACATGAACAGGTGGCTTTCACACGCTTTGTAAAGCCCCTTTGTGGCTCCTGTTGCAGATCATCTGGGGAGTGTCCTCTAACAGAATTAGAGAAGGATCCTGAGTTGGTGAGGTCATCCCCTGACATGTACTCCCAGTAATACCATAGGAATACACAAGTTCAACAAAACAGCACAGCTGGTGAGAGGCAAATACAAACTGAGATTCTTTCAGTGTAAATAAAATCAGCAACACACTTAAGGAAGCTGGGTGTGTTTTTTGAAAACATGATTTTCAGTCTCAATGTTGAGTTTTAACGCATCTAAACATTTACAGCAGTCAGGTTCAATGTTTTTGTTTTAGCTCTATAAAAATAGATGACAGCAAATTCTTGATTTTTAATCACTGAAGGAGAAACTGAGAAGTGTCATGGGCTCAAATGGGTTATTATTAGGGTTCCCTTAACTCAGAGATAAAGGCCATATGAGATCTAATAATAGATTGCCATCTATTAAACAAACATGAAGTTCTAAAAATACACATTCATTTTATTTTCCTTTGAGAAAAAGATAACTACAATTACATTATAATAAAAAACAAAGTCCGTATTTAAGTAACAGGGAAGCAAGGTAGAAAAGTGATTTAATTCTGCTATCAACATGATGATATTTGCTGAGATATTTTGGAGGTGAATCATGAAATTTCAATTAGTGGGCTTCAGCAGTTGACATGGTCATAAAAATAAATTAAAAAAAACAAAAAACCCTCTACCTTGTCTTTCCACGCATTCAAACAACCATTTGATAAAAGTTTTTCCACAAGAAAAAAAAAGTAACAGGATATTTAAACAAAACATATTTAATGTGGGAAAATGCCTTATAAAAATAGCTTCAATCAAGCTGTGTTTGGGTCTAAGTATTAGTACAGGCCTTATCCTGGTAAGTGGGATACTATATTTATACTGTTCACTTGTGGGGATGGGACTAGTAATCACCCTTGCCCTCAATGATTGAAGAACACTTATGGCCCAGTTCTGCCTACAAGTATAACTCCCACTGACTTCAATTCGTATTGAGTGACATTTTAAGAGGAGCTTCAGTATTGACTTCGGGGCGTGGGGGTTACACCTAAGTAAGTGAAGGTAGAATTTGGCTCTTGTGTATTATTTATACCACAAATTTGAGGAAGTGTTACAGAATTAATACAAATCCCCAGACTTCAGTGTTTCTTCTGTTTAAGGACTCTTATTGACACTGGATTGGAGAAGGAATCTTTAGAGGTTCTTGAAGTAGGTGCCAAGTTTTACCATTGGTCACTGTTACTAGGCGATGGTGGCTCTGTATTTGCATTACTATTCAAGTTTTCCTGTAAGGTCATTTTAAAGTTTTGGCACATTTTCTGTAAAATTATGAAGCAGGAGAAGTATACAGCACGCAAGTCACAGGTAATTCATTATTTCAAGTATATTTTAAATGTTTAGAAAAATAAATTGCAAGTAAGCTTTATAAGGGAGATTTAATTTAGTGGTATATAAATATATCTTTTACAAGATTGCTAATCAGAACATTATGCATTGCCAGTCAGTTAAACTTGTCTTAAGCAAGGGATCAGCAAACAGTTTGCCTGATGAAGTGGGCTTTACCTCATGTGGTATTCTAAAGTGGCAATTTAAAACAGGGATTTGATTTTGTTATACAAATCCATTCCTGCTCTCTGAAGTAAAAGGCCAAATTCCCATTGAATATAAAGGGCATGATCCTGTTGAAGTCAATCAACTGAACGATTTTCCTCATATGGACAGAGCATGCCTTTGCTACTTACAAAACACCAGAAACACACCTGTATTTTTAAATGAAACCATACCTGTCAACTTGATATGTTTCTAAACCCTGCAGCTGTCACCAAGAATCAGAAGCCGATGTAATAGCTTTTGATGGTATATAACCACTTACCTTACCCAGTACACACCCACTCACATTCCTAGCTGCCATTTTATTAAGTTCTGGTGCAATAATGTTTTAAGAGTCAGAAATTTCTCAACTCCTGCTATATTAAGCACAGGTGTAGTGAACATATTTTCCACTCATTACAGTGACATCAATCTCTCACTTGAAAGTGATGCTGCTGCAACAGCACCAAAAAAAAAAAAAAAGTCTGCACACCAACTTTCAGTTATCTATTTTCTAAATCAGGGCTTATTGTGTGTGTGTTGTACATAAATTGCATGTAGCATGCTACATGTGTCAGAAATATCACTGGACTAAACCGTTCAAAGCTCATTTTTATAAACCAAAATTTTTGAATAATTTGAAATCTATCATACTACAGAAAGCCTTCTAGAATGAAATACTTCTTTGCTATATAGACAGGTTTCTGATATATAACTTTTGATACCATGAATTCCTAGGAAGAAAAGTTTCAAGATGATTCGGTCCCAGTCCTTGTCATTACAAATGCCAACCCAAGAGTGGAAGGCACCATCAGTCAGTTCACTTCCCTCTCCTGCAACTCCAGTTCTTCCAAGTGTTGGTCAGCTAGTCCAAGTGCCATTTACAGTTCCAGAGTTTCAGAGAGTTACAATCGGTGGGGATTACTGTGCTGGGGTAAGAAATCTGTCAATTTTTTCTTTTAGTATTCTGGGTGGGAAAGGGGGCAGGGGGGAGAATAAAGAGAGAGGACTTATGCAGAGTGGAATGATTACCTATTATGGCCCTCCTGTTATACTTTGACATATCACACTGAAGTCAATGGGGTAGTACAGGTGTGATGAGGCAGAATTTGCCCCAGGTTATTTATGACTGTGTATATTAATTGGTAAGAAAAAAAATGTAAAATATAACAAGGCATTAAATATGTGCTTTAGCATACAGAGATAGGAGGAAGAATGCTCTTGTGCTTAAAGCACTAGATTTGGACTCAACTCTTGGTTTTAACTTCGGGCTTTTTCACCAACTTCTTCTGTGACCTTGGGCAAGGCACTTAAGACCTGAGTCTTAAGTTTCAGACATAGGTGCCTAAATCCCAGTTTTAGGGTCCCTTGGTAAATGGTGCATAAATACTTAGTGTCATTGGGCGAGAGAGAAAATGACTAGTCCAGTGGTTAAGGCATCCACTGCAGAGGTGGGAGACCCAGAGTCCAGTCCCACTGCTCCACTCACTCCTTATTTATACACAGTGGAAGAGTTTCAGGAGGAGAGATTTAGGAAGCACCATATCAGAATATTCCATAGGCCCAGAGAGCACTCTCCTGAGAGGTGAGACACCACTTTCAAATCCTCTCTATTTCTGCCAGAGAGGGGGGAATTGAACCTGAGTCTCCAACATGACTGCTCTAACCACTAGACTAAAAATTAGTAGGTGGGCAGCAGCACAACCTCCTCCCCCAATTTTGTGTAGAGTGAGGGCAGGTGCCTAACTCATTGCCACAGGAAATGACTTAGCCACTTGACTCCAGGTGGTGGGTTCCCATTCATGGATTGCTAGCAGAGCTAGGTGCCTCTCTCCAGCCTGGACTTAGGCTCCTATCTCTATCAGAGTGCCAGGGTTTAAGACACACTTCTGTCATAGGCATCTCCATTGGCTAGCTTAGACAGTTTCCCACATGATGTGCTGTCTTTTGTGAATCACATTCTGAGGCTCCTATCTCTCCCCATTCATTGAGGTTTTTAAGGTCAGGCTTGACAAAGCCCTGGCTGGGATGATTTAGTTGGGGATTGGTCCTGCTTTGAGCAGGGGGTTGGACTAGATGACCTGCTGAGGTCCCTTCCAACCCTGATATTCTATGATTGTATGGGGAGCCTAGCCACCTAACTTGGCTTTATGCATCACAGTGCTGCTCCTGTGATTTTCTAGACACCTAGAAGTAGGCGCCACACTGCTGAGCATTGCAATGTCTAAGTCAATTTGTGGATCCAGGCCTTAGACCCAAATCCTATTAAGGCTTCCACTTCTGGAAATAAAAATCTTGTTATTGCCCAAGTGGGTTCAAATGAATGACAAACTGACTTTTAATAGATGCTCCTGTTTCTCTTCCATCAGTATTTATACAGCTTCTCTTTTCAGGTTACAGTTGATGATTACGAACAGGCTGCGAAGGGCCTGGTGAAAGCTCTGCTAATTCGAGAGAAGTATTGTCGCCTTGCTTACCATCGCTTTCCAAGAACAACATCACAGTATTTATGCACTATGCAAGATGAAAAATGGAAGATGGAAGATGAAGTATGTCCAGGTACAATAGTCTTTTTTGTTGTTGTTGTTGTTGTTAAAGGGAAACCTATCATACTGTAGTAAACATTTGATTTCTGCGATTATTTCTATTTAGAATAAAAAGGCTACATTCTATTTTCCAGTCTGAATAAGCAAACACTAGATAGGGACTCAAGCTGCAAAGTTCATTCTGAATTTAAATTTTCCTGAAGTTCAGGCAGGTTTGGATGTGGGATTTTGGTCTGGAATAACCTCTAATTTAAACAAACGCCCCTAACGACACACTGGAATTTCGACATTAGTATTTGCAGCAAACCAGAAACAGTAATGTAAATTACATTTTAACTACAGTAATGAGGGAGAAAGGTGTAGATCATTTGTGGTAGGGTTGTGAAGGAGGCCAGTCCTTTGGACCGGATTTTAGGGACCACATATTTATTTTACATTCCTGGAAATATGAGAGTATATTGTTAAATAGCCATAAACGTATGAGAGGCTTAGTCTTTGTTGTACCTAGCCACATCCTCAGCCATGAACTTGGCTGGAAAGAGATATTTAAATGGTTGTCCTCTCCTATAGTGGCAGGGAAGAGGAAGTTTATATGTCCTCAAGTAGAAGGTTTTATATTAAAAGGAAACTTTTCTGGGGAGAGTAGAAATATGCTGAATATTCAAGAGAAGATAGATGACATTTGTGAGAATTTCTAGGCTAGTTGATGAGACATCATGGCTGTCTAGATGCAAGAGAAATCTTATTTGAAAACAAGTTTCACATTGTTATTTCTAAGGTATTAGTAATTAAGTAAAAAGATTTTAAAGAGACACTGACAACTTAAATCACAAGCTTAAAATCAAGTATTTGAGTAAGTTGTATCCAGGTGGTTGTGAATTTGAATACCTATTTACTGTTGAGACACTTCTGGTATCAATTCACAGCACATATCGTCAGGTGCTGTAATTTCAGCAAAGAATGGCAAGGACGTGGTAACTTCCCTTTCTTACCTAGTCTGTTAAGCCAAGACTGAATGCATGATCTTGTTATCATTCAGACTACTTAGTATTAAGTCCAGACATGGTTTAATTGGTTTAGGTCAGCTATAGTTGAGGTTGCAATACACTGTATGCTAGTTACACACTAAGAGGGTATGATCTAATCACTAATTAGTGATGGATAAGGCTAATATTTTGTCATGGATATTTTTATTAAAAGTCATGAACTAGTCATGGGCAAAAGAGAAAAATTCACAGAAGCTGTGACCTGTCCCTAACTTTTACTAAAAATATCCCTGATAGAGTGGGGATCTGCCAAGTATGGAGCATATTCATCACAGGGTGAAAGTTTACTGCACCTACTGTCCCTGAAAGAACTCAAATGTGAAGTTGCGGAACTATTAAGTATGGTTTGTAACCTGTCCTTTAAATCGGCTTCTGTATCCAATGACTGGAAGATAGTTAATGTAACGCCAATATTTAAAAAGGGCTCTAGAGGTGATCCCGGAAATTACAGACCGGTAAGTCTAACGTCAGTACCAGGCAAATTAACTGAAACAATAGTAAAGAATAAAATTGTCAGACACATAGAAGAACATAAATTGTTGGGCAAAAGTCAACATGGTTTCCATAAAGGGAAATCGTGTCTTACTAATCTCTTAGAGTTCTTTGAAGAGGTCAAACAAACATATTGACAAGGGGGATCCAGTGGACAGTGTACTTAGATTTCCAGAAAGTCTTTGACAAGGTCCTTCACCAAAGGCTCTTACGTATATTAAGTTGTCATGGGATAAGAGGGAAGGTCCTTTCATGGATTGAGAACTGGTTAAAAGACAGGGAACAAAGGGTAGGAATAAATAATAAATTCTCAGAATGGAGAGGGGTAACAAGTGGTGTCCCCGAAGGGTCAGTCTTAGGACCAATCCTATTCAACTTATTCATGAATGATCTGGAGAAAGGGGTAAAAAGTGAGGTGGCAAAGTTTGCAGATGATACGAAACTGCTCAAAATAGTTAAGACCAAAGCAGCCTGAAGAACTTCAAAAAGATCTCACAAAACTAAGTGATTGGGCAACAAAATGGCAAATGAAATTTAATGTGGTTAAATGTAAAGTAATGCACATTGGAAGAAATAACCCCAACTATACATACAATATGATGGGGGCTAATTTAGCTACAATGAATCAGGAAAAAGATCTTGGAGTCGTGGATAGTTCTCTGAAGACGTCCACACAGTGTGTAGCGACGGTCAAAAAAGCAAACAGGATGTTAGGAATCATTAAAAAGGGGATAGAAAATAAGATGGAGTGTATCTTATTCCCCTTGTATAAATCAATGGTATGCCCACATCTTGAATACTGCGTACAGATGTGGTCTCATCTCAAAAAAAGATATACTGGCATTAGAAAAGGTTCAGAGAAGGGCAACTAAAATGGTTAGGGGTTTGGAACGGGTCCCATATGAGGAGAGATTAAAGAGGCTAGGACTTTTCAGCTTGGAAAAGAGGAGACTAAGGGGGGATATGATAGAGGTATATAAAATCATGAGTGATGTGGAGAAAGTAAATAAGGAAAAGTTATTTACTTGTTCCCATACAAGAACTGCGGCCACCAAATGAAATTAATGGGCAGCAGATTTAAAACAAATAAAAGGAAGTTCTTCTTCACACAGCGCACAGTCAACTTGTGGAACTCCTTGCCTGAGGAGGTTGTGAAGGCTAGGACTATAACAGCATTTAAAAGAGAACTGGATAAATTCATGGAGGTTAAGTCAGTTAATGGATATTAGCCAGGATGGGTAAGGAAGGGTGTCCCTAGCCTCTGTTTGTCAGAGGATGGAGATGGATGGCAGGAGAGAGATCACTTGATCATTGCCTGTTGGGTTCACTCCCTCTGGGGCACCTGACATTGGCCACTGTCGGTAGACAAGATACTGGGCTAGATGGACCTTTGCTCTGACCCAGTACAGCCATTCTTACGTTCTTATACTCACTTATCTCACTGCATGACATGATGCAGGAGCAGGGCCGGTGCTACCATTAAGGCAAATTAGGCGGTTGCCTAGGGCGCCAAGATTTGGGGGCACCAAAAAGCGGTGCCCCCAATTTTTTTTTTTTTTTAAACAGCGTTCCTGGGCCGCTCCACTTCTCCCGCCTCCCAGGCTTGCAGCACCAATTAGCTGTTTGGCGCCGCAAGCCTGGGAGGGGAGGAAAATTAGAGCGGGGGCGGCGTGCTCGGAGAGGAGGCGGAGCAGAGGTGAGCTGGGGTGGGGAGCTGACGCACGGCTGGGGGGGGGGGGGGGGGGGGGGGGCGGGGGGGGGGGGCCTCAGGGGGGGGGGGGGACGGGGAGCTGCCGCAGGGCTGGGGGGGCGCAAGATGGAAGTTTCGCCTAGGGCACGAAACTTCCTTGCACCGGCCCTATGCAGGAGGAGAGCGTATCCTATTTCTTTCTGACTGATGTATCAGTATTGGAACTGCTGATTCACTTATGGTGAAACATGTCCAAAACCACTGTAACAAAAAGGTGGAATGGGACTAATAGTCATGGAGAGGTAGTCAGTACTCAAAGATCTCAACTGTACTTTCATCCCCAAACTTTTTTTTTTTTTTAAACGGCTTCTGAAATTGTAATGAGACATAGGTATACCTTGAATTATAATATGGTGGTGGTAATGCATAGCATTTGAAGTCCAACTCTATATGGCATCAGAGTACTTAAAATAGTGTATTGGAATTATGATAGAAACTTTAATAGCTTATAAATAGGGTCCTACCAGATTCACGGCCATGAAAAACGAAATGTGAAATCTGGTCTCCTCTATGAAATCTGGCTATTGTAAGGGGTTCATGTATTGCCACCTGTACTTCTGCACTGCCTTCAGAGCTGGATAGGCACCCAGCTGTGAAGACAGTGCCGTTGCCAGCAGCAGGGCAGAAGTGAAGGTGGCATAGTATGGGGGCTGTCATTTTTGGGGGGGTCTGGCTGGCCTTATGCATGGGTGACCAGCCGCCCAAGGTGTCATGGTCGGGGGGGGGGGGAAGGAGGGGAGAATGCCGTGGTAGGGTCAGACAGCCAAACCAAGGCCTCTTTAACCCCGAGCGCTGGGCCCAGAGCCAGGGCGGGGCAGGGCTGGGGGCATCCCAGCCGGGGGCTCCTACCATGTGCCAGGCTCCAGCTGCAAGTCCTGGCTGGGCAAGGGAGGGATGTGACTTCCTCGTCCCCAGCACAAGTTGCTCCAGGTGCTGGGTCAGACCCACCTCCAGCAACTTCTCCTGGCTGCATGAAGCCCTGCAGCTGCAGGCTGGGAGTGCGGCTGTAAAGGCAGTACTGTGCTGTTGCTGGAGGCAGAAGTCAAGGTGGCATGGTATGGTATTGCCACCCTTACTTCTGTGCCGCTGCTGGCAGTGGTGCTGCCTTCAGAGCTGGGTGCCTGGCCAGCACCTGCCACTCTATGGCTGCCCAGCTCTGAAGGCAGTGCTGCAGCCACCAGCAGTGCAGAAGTAATGGAGGCAATACCCCATTCCGCAATAGTCTTGCGGACCCCCCCAGCCCAACCCCATGAAATTTCATACTTAAGTATCTGAATCTGTGAAATTTCAGATTTAAAAAATCCTAAAACTGTGAAATTTACCAAAATGGACCATGAATTTGGTAAGGCCCTACTTATTAAAAAAAAAAAATAAAAAAATAAAATCAGAACTGCATTTAATTTTAATGAAGCTGGTCAGAATAAAGCCAACTGGGCTATGACTATAGGTCCTTTAGAGTAACTACCAACATGCATTTAATTGATTTCAAATCCATCTTTCATCAATCTCTCTCTTTAGAGCAGAAACAATATTAATTTCTTTCTGTAACTATTTTGCCTTTCAAAATGGGTTACTTCTGACATAATTTTGACATCAAGCTTATTTCACAGATTTCCATCCACCCCCAGGAAAACTAGAGAATCCTTACAACCTTGACGATGCTCCAGGCAATTTGGATTATATTGTCAAAATGCAAGGAGGCATTCTCTTTGTTTATGAGAACAAAGAAATGATGAAACTCAATGAGCCCCGGAGTCTACCATATCCTGATCTGGAGACCTACACACTTGACCTCAGCCATGTTCTTGCTCTGATTGCAGACGGTCCAATGTATGTATGTTTACTACCATGCTTTTCCAAAGAGCTGGTAATACAGATCAGCGGCAATTTCTTGTGAGACTGCTCACGTTCAAAGCATTTGCTTTACATCTGTTGAGTGTCTTACCATCCATGGGTGGGATATACAGTGAAAAATGCCTTATAATGAACAGAAAAACCAAAGAAGTGAAAGCAGTATACCTCTAAAGGTGTGTCTTTAGCCTCTGGATGCTAGGCATAGTGAAGGATGAACGAGTTTACATAAAACACGTTTCAGGCCAAATCTGACTTGAACCTTTAGAAATGTGGGAACCAGAACTTTGCATGTCACCATTACTATATAATTGGAATATCAGCTTTCTTGTTGAATAATGAAGATTTGTGCATTTGATGTTAAAAAAATTAAATGCAGTAGTTAAGTCTTCAGTCAGGAGCACTTGAGCTCACATTAGCCTCACATTGCCCCAATATTGGGAAAAGAGGGGCACTCCAGTGAATACTGCTCCCTAGAGTCTCAGATGTGGACTCTGAAACAGAGCAGTAGTCTGGGTTATCCTACCAAGCCATTTGCCTGCCTCACAACCACCACATGCCCTAGATCCTCTCCCTTTAAGGGAGGCCAAATCCTTCACAAGTGACAAGCTAGCCTAGCTTGAGAGTGAGAGTGAGTGAGATTTTCATGGAGTAAAAAATTAAAATAAGAGCAGTTCTAAACCCTTCCTTCTGGCAGGGTACATGTTGTCACTTTAAGCAAGCCAAAGAGAGAAACAGTCCAAACCCTTTCTTCAGGCTAAATTTTAGAGTTTCTGTTGAAACCCACATTTACCAGACTGAAAACAGGAACAAGTTCCCCAGAGCCTTTTCACTTCTTCAGACTAGGCTTTTCCACACTGACGCCCAGCCCAGCCTGAACACAAACCAACCACAAGAAAGTCTTCACAGTAACCAGCATAAACTTTCCCTTAGCCTAACCACACCAAACCATCTCTGCATTGCAGGCACCTGCCTTGCTGGCACTTATCTCCATTCCAGGTTGGACTGCTGGCAGGATGACAAGCTCCAGTTGGCTGAGTGCTGGCCATTAACCCTTGGCACCTTAAATCTCCTCACCTACGTTCCCGACTATCCCAGGCCCCTGACAGTGAGCAAACTTGTTCTGCTTAACGTCAAATTCACTCAGACATCATGGATTCACTGACTACAACACTATTCGATTTGTGTTCCATTGAGGAAAGACTGATAAGAGTAGCAAAAGAGAAGGTGTCATGGAGCAGAGAGGGCCTCCCTGACAGTGAGGGGGTTAAGAAGGCTGACAGGCTCCTCCCTGGTAGGAAGGGTTTAAGAAAAGCTTGTGGACCTAGTTGGCCCTGCTCCACTACACTTGCAACAAACGTGAGCTGTGGAGAGGGCAGATAAGAGGAGAGGACCTAGCCCACTTCAGTCCTGCCAAGGGAAAAGAACAGAGCTCTAGTTCTTTTGGTGAGAGAGAAGCCTGGGTGCAGTCCTGAGATGGTGTTTGCTTGCCTGCTGGATCAGCTCTCCAGGAAGGGATGTACAGATCCTGGCAATGGATCTGTGGAAGCCCAGACTGGAAGCAGGGTCCCACTGAAAGTTTCAGTGCCCTGAAAGGGATAGGACTAAAGTGCTCGTTAGCTGCAGGGTCAAAGCCCCACTACCCTGACCTCAGAGACAGATACCTGCGGTGGGAGGGAGTTGTGCCCTGAAGGCCATAAGGGGGACTGTCCTGGCAATGGCGTTACAGAAGCGCTAGTTATTAAACAGACACACTTTAGAAATACCATAGATTAGGCTTGACAAATGGTGCAGAGAAAAAGCATCGGGGTAAACAGAACAAGAAAAAAAGTGGAGTAGAGAGGGTGAAAGTGAAGCAATTTGAGAGAACGAAAAACAGAAGAATAAGACTCAAAAAGAAGCAAAAAAGACAGTGATAAAATACTGGTAAATACATATACCATCTATAAAGGCACCCAAAACTTAAATCACATTCACAGTAGATCATATCCTGAGGTATAACTATTCTGGTTGAAAATAAACTACGTTTCCATGTTGTAATAGTTTTGTTTACAGGTTGCTTCCATTGTGTAAGAAGGTGGTTTGTTTGTGTGATGGTGATATATAGCATCTGAGTGGTAGCATTTGTTAGGTAATACATTTTACTTTTTTGTACTACTCCTCCCCCCGCCCCACACACACACACACACACAATCATGTACCAAACTGAAAGAACTAGAAATTCCACAGAGGTACAGTGATGAGATATAATATTACAAGTTAAAAATAGCATGCAAAAAGGGGGTAAATCATGGCCAGATACATTCCTTCAGTGTCCTTGTAGTTCTTGGCTATTACAAAAACAAACAAACAAAAAAACTTCCCAGCACATTCTGTTAGTGTTTTATTAACTGGCTTCATATTTGGTATCAATTCAAATTTAGGGCCTAATTGGTAACCACAAAAATCAAGTTTCAGAGTAGTAGCCGTGTTAGTCTGTATCAGCAAAAAGAACGGGTACTTGTGGCACTGATATAATGATATCTAGCCATTTTCATCCATAGATCTCTGATAAATCACATGTCTGGGGCATATTAAAATATGGATAAATCTAATGGCTGTTTCACTCAAAGTAATTTACACTCTTAAAACTTAAAATCTGAGTAGTTTGATCATAATTAAAACATCTCTCTTTTGCAGAAAAACATATTGCCACAGACGACTTAACTTTTTAGAATCTAAATTCAGTTTACATGAGATGCTAAATGAAATGTCTGAATTTAAAGAACTGAAGAGTAATCCCCACCGAGACTTTTATAACGTGAGAAAGGTAAGTGTGAAAGGGTTTATTAGCATGCTACAGTCTTTGTGATGGAATTTTCAGTTGTCCCCCTTTAGTCTATATCATTCACTACAACCTCTGTGTGAAATATAGATGGAATGAACAAGATGCTCTGTAAATACCACACACACACTAAACATTTAGATTACAGGCTAATATTCCAATATAGTAATTTTTTTTTTTAAAAAAGCTAAACACATTTTGTTTATAAACTTAACCCTTCATTGATGGCCCATTGCAGCCTCAGCTCAGAAACCTTCTTCCCTTAGGGAAGTGACACACTCAAAACTCTGAAGGCCAAACTCTGGGCTCAATCCTCAACTTCACTGAGATTCCACTTGGTGCAGTGAGTTCTGTGCCACCTTTCCACTGTCCTGATCCTGAGCTAAACAGGAGCTGAAACAGCTCTTGGTGCAACTTAGAGCAGCTAATAATCTGATAGAGTCATGTGCACTTTGTCCCAGTCCCTCCTGCTCATGGCACATTTCCTCTGCAGTACTCTCTGTCCCTAACATAGCCCTGTGTGGAAAGGATGGGCTGGGGCATTGAACCAACTGTGCTGGCTTTGCCTTCCAGAGAATTCCTTTGTGTCAGAGGGAATCCTTGGCTGCTTCTTTAGGACAGCTTCCCAGCTGCTTGACACAGCCTCAGCAGTGCAAAGCAGCCAGAACTGGGGCCAAGGATTGTGCCCTGTGTCCTCAGATGTGCATATTGATCTCATGGATTTTAATGGGAGTCTTGTCATAATATGACCTGGAGGGTTTTATCTAATGAATTAAACAGAAGCTATATGGGCACATCCATGTACAGGATTCGGCCATAAAAATACTGCAAGAGGTTACTTCAATGCAGCCACTGAATGTACACTTAAACTGAAAGGTAGTAAAAACAGGTTTCATTGTCATACTAGCTAACAATACTTGTTATCTTCTCGTTGTGGTTTTCTAAATGCTGTGACATCCGTCCTCTGGTTTAACTCCATGTTAGGTCACTAGGTTCATAACAGTTTAGCATTTCCCCCCAGGTCCTACTTTGGTTCTGCCATAAGACATGGATGGATTTATTATAGATTAGGAACAAATTTAAGGCTTGAAATAAACTGAGTTTATTATCTGGTTGGAACAGACCATTTCACCAATCCCTCCCTTTGCAAGTTCAGACCTAGTTCTTATCTTCTCCACTGACAGATTGCACACACCCCATTCCTGTGTAGGACTGATAACGGCAAAAGAAAATGAGCCAGCCTGGGGAAAAAAAAACTGATACCAGTAACGTTGCTCAGTTTCGTAATATATTTATTTCAGACTGTGCTACTGAAGTCCAAATGTGGCTAACGTAGTCAAGGCATACGAGGAAGGAAGGCATATTGAAATACAGAGATGTGGTTTGGGACTTACAGTTGAATTCTCTTAAATGAATGATTGAGGAACTGTGCCTATAGCAAAGCATATCTTCCACTTCGTGTAATCAGGTGCATCAAAGACAAATGTGCTGTTCACAAGTATGTTTGAACAAGGGATCAGCAGTAAACAGAAATGGGGATGATCTTTGCCAGAGGCAAGGAAATCCACTCCTTTCAATTCAAAAAGATTGCCAGTTGTATTTTTAGACAGCCTGGATGTATTTACGGAATGGCCTGTTTACTGCTGAGCAGTAAGAAAGTGTTATGGATCTGTGCTAAGCAATAGAGTATCATTTTTCAAGTTCAGTACATATGCTCAGTAGTCAGCCTCAAATTTTATAAGTGGACTCTCCACTGCATTAGCCAAGTCATCACTGAAAATATTGACGAGTACCAGATACAGGACATACCTCTGCAAGATCCCACCAGATACATCCTTCCAGTTTGACAGTGAACCATTGATAACTACTCTTTTAATATGAAACAGAGGGTCCTGTGGCACCTTTAAGACTAACAGATGTATTGGAGCATAAGCTTTCGTGGGTGAATGCTCACATGCGTCTGACGAAGTGGGCATTCACCCACGAACGCTTATGCTCCAATACATCTGTTAGTCTTAAAGGTGCCACAGGACCCTCTGTTGCTTTTTACAGATCCAGACTAACACAGCTACCCCTCTGATCTTTTAATATGGTCTTTCAACCAATTATGCACCCCCCCTTTATAGAAGTTTAATCTAGACCACATTTCCCTAATTTGCCTACAAGAATGTCATGTGGAACTATGTTAAAAGCCTTACTAAAATCAAGATATCACATCTACAGCTTCCTCCCTATCCAATAGACTAGTAATGATAAGTCTCATGTTTACCCTTAATTCTACCTACTGAGTTTTGTTGCTTTGGTTGAGATTTGTTCACATGAGTAAATAAATCCCAACCAAAGCAGCAAAACTCAGTAGGTGGAATTAAGGGTAAACAATGTTGTAACAGCTGGCTTTTCCCCTTCTCAGTAACAGAGAGAGCACTTCATCCCTCTTAAGTCTTCCGGTCCTGGAGTTAAATAATGTAAGCAAGTCCAACCAAGTTGTTAATCATGAACAATATTGCTATTAGTTACCAATCTTAAAAACATCTTTTTCATTCTGAAGTTAGCATATCAATTTGATACTCCTGGAGGGAGACACTAATACTAGTGGCTAGGGAAGAAAGTATAGCTTTACAAATGTTATACAAATCCTATTAGGTGCTTTGCTAATGCACCTCAGACCTTATGTCCCAGAAACCTAATATTCTAGCACTGGCCTCATTTAAGCTGAGATTTTTCCATTATGTGGATGATATGAAAACACCATTTGAATTCAAGACTCTAGAGGTAATTCTGCAACCTGCTGCAGCCCTCTGAAGGAAGGCATAGGGATGTAGGGAAGACAAAGCAAATGATTATGGGAACTAGTAAAGGGACATGGAGACAGTCATATCTAGATTGCTAGTTTGGTTGTGTCAAAGGTTAGCAGCGACCAGAAATTGGTGGGGTTTTTGTAGCTCCCAGCTTATGAGTGTACACCTCACTAAAGCTAAGACAGCCAACACCAATACTATGTATTGTTCATCTGTGATTCCTCTTTTGGCCATCTCAGCAGAAAATCCAAAGACAGAGTTGACCCAGAAGCTGAAGCAGCCCATAGAAGAAGTCTTTACAAATTAGGGTTGGTGCACAGCAGTGGGTTTGGGGAGAGGGGGAGCTTGCACTGCTGCTTCTGCTTGAGTCCTTAAGTGTCCATAGCTGCCAGTTTCTTATTTAGTAGTTATAAGGCTGTAGCACAGTTAACAGGTTAATGGACTAAGCCATATAAACCAGGTTTTATTTAATTCTATAACCCCCTGTGGATTGCAATTCCCATATACTCCATATACTATGTTTTTTGAGCCTAGTGTGGCATTCTTCTGTTTATCTATTCACACTACATATTTCCTGTTGACAATCAGTTGGTGAATAAGGACCCAATCCTAGAAAGTGCTGACCATCCTCATCTCTCATTGGTCTCAATGGGAGTTGCAGATGCTACCACCTTGTGGGATCCTATCCTAAGGTCTGCTTTAGGTGAAGTTAATGTTAGATGTCCCATTGGCTTCACAGGAAGGAGGAGGAAGCTCTTTCTGGGAAGGGTAGTAGTGTTTACAAGAGAAAGTGTATGTACCCAGAAAGCCAAGTAGTTTACAGCTGAGGGTTTCACTGGCTTAAGTGTTGGAAAGACATATTACCATCAATAGGCTGCTCAAGACACCTGACTATATTTATCATTAACTGTTCTAAATGTACAGCATCAACTTAACTCAGTGACAATGTTGTTTTATATACAATATATGCATATAAGACTATCTGTATAAACTTTGCCATGGGGTCCAGGCCTCCAGCATAGCCCTGTAGTATCATTGCATGCCTGGCCCCCTCATGTTCTTTCACTCAGTTACCCAGACTAAATTGGTTTAAGACATGTACCCACCGTGTGGGGTCAGGGATTTTTTCTTTAAAGTCTTTCTACCAAGTGTAACTCACTGTGTTAGTTGCCCCACTCTGGGTCCATGTAAGAGTTGTGGTCAGCTCTCTCTCTTTCAAAACAGGAATTCCCAGCTCTCTTCCTGGAACAGGGTATACTTCAGTTAAACAGTCACTGTCTCTCCTCAAGTCAGCAACCCCAGCCCTCCTCAGAGAGCTGGGTAATTCAGGCAGTCATTAACTCTCTCCTTAACCCAGAAGTCCACAGCTCTCCTCCTTGGAGCAGGATTGTAATTTAGTCACCAGTAGGGCCTTAGCCAGCTTATTCTTAGGTGTCTCTTCCCTTCTGTTAGTCCTCAGGCTCAGAAGGTTTGTTTGACTGACTGACACAGACCTCTCCTACTGGTGTCTACCTGCTATGAGGGAGGAGGCAACATTTATGCTGGTCCCCTTCACCCAGCTCATTCCTAGTTGGTTTGGTGAGAGGGTAGTCTGCCTCACCGTCTCAGCAAGGCTCCTGGCCCTGGGCCCTTAAAGGCACAGTGATGGGATTTCCACCCAAGCACTGCTTATTCCCAGAGTTGCTTCCTCTCCGTCCTTATCCCCTACATCCTTGTGTGTACATATATCATACCTTTCAAAATCTTAAAGAGCAATGTCAAATGATGGGGTGAGCTGACCACTAGGCCCTACTACCTTTAAGGGGGCAGACTGCCCCATCGCGCATACTGCCCCATCCCACACACTGCTTTTATTAATGACTTAGAAGGTGTTGAGACAGATTCAAGCCAAACAGTGTAGGAAAAAGCTTATTATGAAGAGAAAGTTAATCCCTTCATTTGTAACTTTTTGAAAATTCAGGAGTGGGGACAGTAGGATGGAAATCAGTGGAAAATGGCTGGCTAGTGAGGGGGCTTGGGTGCGTAGTGCGTCAGCTGAGGAACATGCTTTGCTGAGGCAGGGGTAAAGGTGGGAGGGAAGAGAAGCAAGGGGAGGTGGAATGAGGGAAGTGGACATAGGAGGTTAGGTGTGAGGGGAGCAGGAGGATGTGGTATGCATGGGGACCCAGGCAGGATGATGATGATATA